TGTGTTTTCCAAAGAGAGAGAGAGAGAGAGAGAGAGAGAGAGAGAGAGAGAGAAAAAGAGAGAGAGAGAGAGAGAGAGAAATGAAAAATCCAAACAGCAAAAAAATTGATTACCCAACAAATAACATCAACAACAACAACCAAAACATATAGCCAGCAATCAAATGTTGTGGTAGTCGTTGTTGTTGTTGTTTTACTGGACATTGAAAATCCAGAAGAAAAAAAAAATTATAGGATCATTTTGATGACGAATGAAATGCTGCTGGAAAAGTTTTGTTGTTGTAAAAATTTTGTAATAAAAAAAAAACAGACAGCTTTTTTTTAAATACTTGATTATCAAACCAAAAACAACAGTAAAATGTATTTGATTAGATTTTCTTGTTGTTGTTTGTTTTTTCTGGTTACGAAATATCGATTTTTCAGTATATAAATACCTGGGTGATGTGAAGGGAGAAAAAAAATTTCCAAAAAAATCATTTTTCGATTTTTTCAAAATCAAATTCCAATTCAATTCTATCGATACTATCGATATTTTCATCTTCCCTTTTTTTCCTTGATCAACAAGAATTAATTATTACTGTTTGTTCAATACCTTAAGTGATTTTTTTCAAAAAAAAACTTTTGATTGTTATCATTCAATGTTTGTTTGTTTGTTTGCGTGCCCTTAGGTAAATAATAAAATTCATTTCATTGAATCAACTTCATCATCATCATTGATACATTGAAATTATTAATGCAAAAGAAAAATCACCTTTTTTGAAGAAAAACGAAACGAAACTTTGTGTATCTTTCTGTGTGTGTGTCTTTGCTGCTTCTTTATTTTTTTTTTTATTACTTTCAAATCAGACAAGAAAAAAAGAAACTGTTAAGCTAGGAATTTTTCTTTATTCAGCGAAAAACAAAACAGATAAAAAAAAGAGAAGCGAAGAAAAAAAAAGAGTAAAATTTTTTAAAAGAAGAAGAAGAAAAACATTAACATTAAACAGATATTAGACAACGATTTGAAGACGAAGATATTTGACGAAAAGCAAAGATTTTTTCTTTTTCTTCTTCTTTGCAATTGGATTTTATCGTTACGTTTTTTGTTTTTTGTTTTGTTTTTCGCATCCACATCCGATTTTTTCCGTTTTCTGGTTCTGTGTGTTTATCGATTGATTTGATTGAATTTCGATTCGATTTCAACCAGCCAACCAACAAAAATGTTCAACTTTAGTAATTATCGTGATATACGTTATCATTATTTTCATGTTTATGTACCGGGTAAACATCATCAATTTGAACGTGATTTAACTAAATTTCCCGGTGTACCGAATTCATTTTTTATTGAAGAATTTTTACGTGAACATGCTGATTTTATTCATCGTAATCTTTCACGTTGGTATTATTCATTTTATTTATCGATAATATATTTATTGGCAATAATATTGATAAAAAAATGGATGCAAAACAGGCAACCATTTCAAATGAAACCAATATTAATTATATGGAATATTTCATTAGCAATATTTTCAATTATTGGTACATTTCGTTGTTTACCGGAATTTATTCATGTACTTTATCATCATGGTCTTGTACATTCATATAGTAAATCAACATATTATTTTGTAAGTAAATATTTGATTTAAAAAAAACTTTCCCAGTAAAATTTTCTCCAAAAATCAATGACCAATAAATCAATAACGATTTTGTTTTAATGATGATGGTAGTGTGAGAAACAAAATAATGAGGAAATTATCATTAACAAATTGGAAAAAATTTTCCAAAAAAAAATTAATTTGATTATCGAGAATATTTTTTCTTGGTTTTCATTGAAAATTTCCTCGAAAAACCAAAAACGGAAATTTTTATTTCCAGAAAAATTTCTCCGGATGGAATTTTTCTCGTACTTACTCCATGCATGCACACTCACATCATATGAACACGTAAAGTTCATTGATACTTCCGTCCATTATGGATGGATCATGTGATTATCATGATGATAAGCACTGATCTTTTGTGTATAACCACCATCCAAAAAAAAACGATGCTATCTAACAACAGAAAAAAATTAAAAAAATTTCTATTTTTGAAAATTTCATATTTTTAAAACGAAAAAACAACAAAATCCTGTCAGATACAGTAGTCGAAAATATCTAAAAATGTCACCACAACAATATAATGAGGACAGGAAAAAGCAAACAAACCAGTAGCCATTATTATCATCATTTTCTCTCTCTCTCTCTCCCCTCCTGTATTACAATGTGACATAACAATGTTTTGTTACCCAAAAAAAAAATCTGTTTAATGTTGCGTTGCTACACAAGGATGTTTTCTCGGTTCATCATTTTGTTGTTGAATCGATATGGAAAAATTTTCTTTCCATTTTTTTCGATCAAAATCTTGATTCAAAATCGATAATGGTGATAATCGATAATGGTGTTGTCTACCAATGGTTATCGATAGTAATTTTTTTTTGCAAAAGAAAAGTTTCTGTAAACAAACAGAAAAAGTTTCTGGGAAATAAAGGGTTATTATTATTTTGATTTGTCATTATTTACTGAACAAACAAAAATTTTTTTAACATCCATTCATTCATAAATATCGTGATTACATTGGGATATTCGTTTTTCCCCCCTTGTTTGTTTTGTTAGATAATCTTTACAGCAACAAATTCAAAAAGATGATGATTGAGCATCATCCTAATCATCATCTGGACGACGAAGTTGGAAATCTTTCCATCTTTGGGGCCATATGTTTTGTTTAAACATGCATCCATCTTTTGTGTGATGCGCAAGATGTGCGAGAACAATTTTCCATTTTTTTGGCCAACCAACCAACCAAAAAAACCTGATAAGCTTGCAAAAAGGAAAAACCTATTTTTTTTTCTTTTTTCACTTTTCTCATCCAACTTTTGGAATGACCATAAAGGCAACATACTTTATGGTCAACAACATTGGAAAATCCTTTTTGCCATGCCATAATCATCATCATCGTCATAATAATCATTATCCGCATCAACTAAACAGGTAAACAGACGGACAGACATTAGATGGATGTTTTAATGATGATGATGATGATTAAAAATAGAATTTTACAAAGCTTAATTACAACAATGGTTGCTGTTGTTGTTTTCCATATTTTTTTTCTTTTTGATAATTTCTTCTTGCTTATGGTTAATCAATTGATTGCAGAATTTCTTTTCTTTTCTCTGTGAAAGAAAATCCTGAAAGTTTCCAAGGAAAATTTCCCGAATTAATGCTAAATACTCCTACGCATCTTGTTGAAAGGCAGAAAAACAAAAAACGGCTTATCCATCATCCCTACTTTCATCACTTGTGTTAATTTTTTTTTATCATTTATGGTTATTGTTTTTTATTTTTGGCCAAAGTTGTTTCTGCAAAATGATTTTCCATCACCTACAAAACCATAAACGGAAATCAAATTTTTATTAGATTTAAGGTAAAGGATTTTCTTTTTTCATGGAGAAAATTTCCCGGAAAAAAAATTTCCATGAAAATTTATGAATAATCAAAAAAAAATCATCTTGACCATATTTATGTTTTTTGTTGTTTTGTTGTTTCCGAAAAGATTTTCTCCATCGGACATCAACCATTATCATCAACAGCTGATGATATTTGTTGGTGGTAAACAGCTTGATCATCAACAATAACCAATATTGTTCAACAACGGGTCATTGCATTCTCTCGCTTGCATCAATAATTTTTTTTTGTTGTTGTTGAAAAACTGAAGATTCAAATAACAATGCTTGTTGAATGACTATATCGGATGATGATGATTATTGTGTTTTTGTGTTGTGCTGTAGTAACACAACAACAACAAAACAAAAGTGAAAATGAATCGGTCAAGATGATGATTTGGTTGATTTGATTTGATTTGATAGAAAATCTGATTGTTGATTGGTTCCAATTCAAATGGAAACTTTTTCTTTTGAAAAATTTGTCTATTTTTTTCTGTTGTTGTTGTTGTTGTTGTTCAAATGATTTTATTACCATGTAAAGAAGGAGGGGAGGGAAAAAAATAACAGTTTTCCGGGAAAATTTCTCCAACTGTTTTCCTTCCCCAACACTTTTTTTTTTGTTTTCTCTAACCAAACAAACAAACAAATTTGAATTTGATTATGGATGATAATTCCGATTGATTGATTGATCTAAATACCATCAAACATCATCAATCGATTGATTGATTGATTGATTGATTGATGATGTTATTTCATTATAATCATGTTTTTTTTGACACTTTCACACTTGACATAACTCTCTCTTTCACACACACAATCAATCAATCAAATCAAGTATTTTGAAAATCGTTTAATCGGTTTCTCTCTTTCTCTTTGATTCTCTCATTCAATCATTCCAATTCACACAATAAGACAAAAGACAAAGAACAAACAAACAAACAGACAGCAAAGAAAATCATAATTCAAAATGTTTTCTTTGCCATCTTCTTGTTGTTCATCATTGGAAAATACATAATGTTTGTTTGATTTGGTTTTTTGATTTTTGAATTTTCGGTTGAGAATGGGAACATGTAAAACACAACAACAGAGCAAAAAGCAAATCTCATTTGTTTATTTCCTTTTGTGTTTTTTAATATTTACTCCTGCAGTGTTTGTTCTGTGTGTGACCGAATAACATTTCCTATATATCCTGAAACAGTTTCTTCTTAAATTAATCAATCAAAATTCTCATTTTTGATTTGAAATGATTTGTCACTTGTAAAACAAAAAAAAAAAAAAAAAAAAGACATTCATTTTTCTAGGAAAGTTTTTTTGGTTTTCCTGGAAATTTTTTGTTTTGAAAAATATTCTTTT